AATGTTAGTGAAGTGGGGAGGGAGGGAGGGAGGGAGAGAGAGAGAGAGTGAGTGAGACATGTGCAGACATATTACGGAACAGTTATGAAACCTCTGGTACAAAACTATCCAGGGACTTACAGAATAAAGATGACTCCCAAACCAGACTAAACTAAGCACCAACTTAGTAAAGAAAATTAGCTTTGTTTTTGTTTTATTAGACAAATTCTGCTTTTACACTGGGATAACTCCCCTGACTTCAGTGCAATTGCTCCTGTTAAACAGTGAGGCAATTCATACTCCAGGACCAGCCATCATTTTAAAATAATGTGCTCAATATTCAACTGGCAAATTAAAAAAGGCCTCATTCCAGATGTGTAAACCATGTCCCTGTCCTTTATTACTTGTAATGAACCTGCCAATTACACAAATAGGAATTTCTGCAAAATCTTATCAGCCAGCAAGAAGCTGCAATAATAAGTTCTCTCTCAGGACTTAATTCGCATCTTGTTGAAGTGTCATCAGCCCACAAAAACTCCTATTACTTGACTCCAGAGGAGCAATTCATATCCAATCCTTGCTAAACAAAGACCCCAAACTGATTCTGTGGTTAGGACATAGATTACAAAGCAAATATTTAAAGAGAAGGAAATGAAAGAAGTGTTTGGTCTTGAAGTTCATTGGAGAAGCATAAGGAAGAAGGCAGATGTGGGGGCTACAGGAAGAGAAAGAAGTGGCCCACAATTCAAAGATACCAAAGCTATCAGAAGATGAAGACAATTTCAGCAGTACCAACCATAATGGTACAGCACAGATAGTACCAGTTTAAGCTTTCACTTTTCAGTGTGATCCAAAAAGGCAGGTCTGTCTTCATGCTATGATCCTCCTTAACCAGAATTGAATTCTTTCATTGCTGAGTGATACTTCTCTCTCAAATACAAAATGAGCAAGCTCCCTGTTCTGCATTCTCCTATTTGTATATGAATGCATTTCATTCTAATGTGTGGTATTAATGCAAGCACTAGTCAAGAGCTCGCCTACTTTTCCAAGATCATGGCATATGTTGAGGCAGATTATCAGAGGTACTAAATTCAGTCATGGAGACAATTAATCAATGGCAGATTAATTTACAACAATGTCTTATATACACTACAGGGGTATAGGTTGTAGCCGTGTTGGTGTAAGGACATAGGCAGACAAAGTTCTTTTGGTAAATTTGATATCTTTTATTAAACCAACTCAAATCTTTGGAAAAATTCTTCTTTGCAAGTTTTCGGGTATAAATACCCTTAGGCTGAGGAAGCATCTGCAGTTGGTCTGTGCTCTAGAGCACAGGATAGTTATACCCCAAAGCTTGTAGAGAAGGATTTTTCCAACTATTTGAGTTGCTCTAATAAAAGATATCAGATTTACCCAAAGAACCTTATATACACTGCAGTGTTTTGTAGCCACTGTTACCATTACTGCAGCCTCCTTGGTACTGACAATGATTGAAGTGCTAGGACAGGGTTGGCCAACCTGCATAGCACAAGTGCCTCCAAGTGATGTGGGCAGCCTCTGCATGTGGCACATGACAAATCAGGGAGGGGACAGGCTGTACAGCAGCAGATAGGGCAGGAAGCAGAAAGCAGAGGCAGAGATCAGGCAGGAAACACAGAGTAGGGAGTATAAAGCAGAGCAGCAGGTCAGACAGAGGAAGGGGATAAGAGTGGCACTCATGGAGGGTGCAGGGCTAATTTGTGGCATGCCTGCCAAAAAGATTGGCTCCACCCTGTGCTGGGGCATATTGGGCTAAATCATTTTCAATGCTATGTCAAGAAGTTTCTCTCTAAACTATTTGTCAACACCAGACCAGTAGTGCCCATTGCTGGCAATGGATACAAAAAGTTCTAGTGTAGACAAAGCTCATGAGGGCACTGAGGGATATCAAGGACTCTCTCTCCCTCTAGTGGCTGATACTATCACAAGACTACAAACCTTAATAAATTTAGCAGCTCCCTTGCTTAAGGTGGCAAAAACAAATGGTCTTGCAAAGTGTGGTCTTAAATTCTATTCACACCTATATGCATTTATCAAACACCACCTCACACCTCCCTTTTCCATTCTGCTGTGATTTCTCTTTCCAATCCTTGCTTTATAATCTACCTATTTATTATCTATTGCTTTAAACTAGACAGTCTTTATTGCTTGCCTTAACTGCTTGCAGTTTTGCTGGCTGCGGTCATCAGCTGGTTCTGTTCACACAAGCAGTAATTTGTATGGAGTTTTTTAATCAGCTTGTAAAACTGAACCCCTGACTAAAAAAAAAAGCAAAGGACTTCAGTGAAGGTTAGGTCAAGTTCTTAAAGGTGTACAACCCCCAGCCACATAGCTGCATTAAAGGAGTTGTATCTGTTTTGAAGCTTGAGTACATAACAATTAGGAACATGGACTACTTCAGAGATCTGAGACAGAGCAATGGCAGAAGGGGGTTTTTGGTTTGTTTGTTTTTTTAATAATAATAAATGAGATGTATTCAGCATGGGTGCTAGCTTTTGAAATACTCTAAGATTTCTCATTCTTTTTTGTCATAACATTATTGCAGAATTTAATGGGATTAAGGAATTTAATTCTGCAGAATTTCAACAATATTCTTTCAAATGAAACTGACTTTCAATAAGAGTAGAAAGCTATAATTTAGGCCATGTCAATTTCAGTCAGTGATGAACAGGGCCAAAGAACAAATCACAAGCTAAAAACCCTTTAGCCATGCATTTGTTAAAGAATCAGTGCAGTCTAATGAATAAGACAATGGCCGGGGACTGAGGAGACCCAAGTTCTCTTCCCAGTTCTGCCACTGGCCATTGGGCAACCCTGGGCAATTCATATCACCTCTCTGTAATTCAGTCCTCAGACTACAAACCGCAGATAAAACCACCAACTGCACTTTTTAAAATGTTTTGAGATGCACAGACAAAGAGCACCATCTGAGTGCTAATGATTATTGTTGATAATCATTGAATACTCTTAAAAAATAAACATTCAAACAAGTGAGCATGGTGCACACCTGAGAATTTAAAGCTGGGTGAGAAAAATTATAAAACAATGTCATGTGCGATCCCAAACAAAAGTGACATATATTCCTAAATTACCACAAAAAGAAGGGCGGGGGGAGGGGGGAACCAGCTGATTGTCAGTCCCAGCCCTGGGACTGTACCCGAGTTTCCAGCTGGCTCCCATGTGGTCCCTGGACTGAGGCCAACAATCAGCTGATTGTCAGTCTCAGCCTGGGGACCACACGGGAGCCAATTGGAAACTCTAGTGCAGGGCACCACAAGGATCCAGTAATTGAAACAAAGCATGTACAGCTCACACTGTGCACAAGCTGTATATGTTTTAAGATCACAGTAAGCATTACCATGTGACTGCTCAGAACATATTCTAACTTTAACATGTGCTAGATGTCCTGTATGACAAGGCCCTTTGTGGATATAGAATTGATCGAGCGCAACAAGAGAAGACAACTGACTTCTGAAGACCACAAAGACTCAGATTAAATTTTCTCCTGCATATTCTCTCAACCATCTGCACTCCTTCAGCTCTTTGCCAATGGGTTTTTTCCTCCAGCTCATTCACGATACCACCCTTACCTCTTCTACCTGAATAATGCTCATAAAAGCAATTTGAAATCCTAGCAAACATTGAAAGCTTTGGAGGAAAAAAAAACTACCCACCCAGAAAGATATTAGGTAGTATTTTTACTATTATATGACTTATCTGATAACCATCAGAGTGCAGAACCCAATATCACACTTGGTTCACACAGGATTTTATGGATAGAATTTATTGTTACATCATCCAAAGGGGGAGGAAGGACAGGGGAAAAGGGATGTGTAGCGTAGCACAGTTGCTCTTGAAATCCCTTTCCTTCCAACAAGCTTTGACCCCTCTGGCAAAGGGCAGAGGCTGTGCACAGATAAAATGATGGCCACTACACAGTATCAAGCAAACATTCTATACATATACATATATACACACACACACACACACACACACACATATATATACACATATGTACACACACACACACACACATACGTGTACACACACACACACACACACGTACACACACACACATACGTACACACACACATACGTACACACACACATACGTACACACAAGGGCTTAGTCCATCTGTCTGTGTGTCTGTAATGCTTTTGGAGCACTCTGATTGGTTGTCTTAGCACCAACAGTGCTTACTGAAACAACCAGAGTGCTCCACACAGACAGACAGCAGGGATGGAGCTGGGGGGAGAGGGGAGGCCAGCGGTACTCCCCTCCATCCCCGCCGTCAGGGCAGCGCTCTGCCATCCCACGGGGGGAGGTGTGGGGCCAAATGTGGAGCAGCGGGGAGGGGGTGGTGCGGGGCCAGATGCGAAGCAGTGGGGTGGGGTAGCATGAGGCCAGATGCAGAGCGGCGGCAGTGCAGGGCAGTGGGTGACAGCAGCAGCCACCATGGAGATGCTTCCTATCCCCTCCTGCCACCCCCCCACCCCCCCCGCTGCTCCTGGGAGGTGGTAGCAGCACAGGGTGGTGGGTAGTGGCACTGTCCGTGCCCACCCCCATCCCTCATCATTCTTGATGGGCAATTTGCTAGTAATTTACAACCACTTTTCTCTGGTTGGTTAGCCTAATCTTTTTTTCTGTTGGATTTCTGCCACCCTGCTCTCTGACCTGTGCCAAACAGCTTTAAACTAGGGCTACTTTATTATCTCCATAGAGGAAAGCCCCCAATACCTTAATGAATCTAAGTGAAATGAGGACTGCTTCTAACTACTCCTTGGTAAATAAGCAAGCTCTTTGTTTATAATGCATTAGGTGGCTTCTTCATTTACAAACTGCATTAGAGGATAGCAGCTGTAAGGATGTGTACACATGGCCTTCTGAAAATAAGCTGCAATTCCACACAAAGGCTCACTAATATAGCACCCACACACCACTGGCATGCCCCATACCCTCCCTCAGGGAAATAGGACGTTACCTCAGCAAGTCGAGAATGCTTGTGAACGTTCTCTCCCTTCTGCACACTTGGAGCAAGCTGCTGCAGGACGCCCCGGCTACTTGTGAGGGCTCGTGTCAAGCGAGCAAATTTTCCCCAGCCTTGAGAAAACAGAGATTACACAGCAGTTACAAGAAACAGTCTGCATTCACATGAAGACTCTCCTAGCTGAAAACAACCTGACAGAACAAATCCAACAGTGACCCAAATATGACATAATTTAATCATATGTGAGATAAAGTCTATCAGTGTAGTAAATGGGGGGCAGGGAGGGAGGGTATTCAGTACCTGTGAAAGGAGACCATTATGGGCACTGGGTATTTTCTGGGGAAAATATTCTGCCCTGGAATAACCTCTCATTTAAGTCAGTCATCTGCATCAGATCTCATTCCAATGAGAAGATACTTCTGACTTATACAGATTGGAATCAGGCACATAAAGAGCTGCAACTGCTTACAACAGTAGTGAATTTAGCCTCGGAGATGTTGGGAGTTGTGTGGATGCAGGCTGAAAATGCACAAGGCATAACAAATAAAAAAGTAGGTGAAAGCAGCAGCATTACTGATTCTATATCCTCTACAAATGGAAGGGAGGAAAAAGAAAACGGATTTCTTTTTCCAACTCTTGGAAAATACTCAGCCTCTTTAAGACTAAAAATCATTTGCTGAATTTTAGCCGAAAGCACATTTTAGTGCTGATTCATAAACCGCTCAAATAAGGCCCTCTAATGTAATGCTGACAGAACTAGTTATAGCAGTGACCCTTATGATCCTCACTTTTCAAACATAATATCACAGCCAAAACATGCATTTGGATTTTTCTGACTTTCTAAAAGCAAAATATCAGTGCATTAGGTCCCAATCCAGCAAGACACTCAGCTCCTTCTAAGAGGTCGCTGATCACCCCTCAACTCCCACTCCAAACAAGGCTGCCTAGCTCAGACTTAACAGGGCCCTGCTCTGGGAAAAGCTTTCATGGCATTTGGACTCCGTTATGAAAATAAAATTATACTGTTAGGAGCAAGCATTACCAGCAGAACAGCAAGGGAGTTTAACCTGCAAGTACCCTATTAGAATCACTGGGATTCGAATGTTTAAAATGCTGCCCACTGCTTTGGACATTTTGGCAGCCATTGTGAAAGTGTTTGCTGGAACGTGAAATTCTAAGTAGAGTACATTCCAAGGATTTGCTATTCAGTAGAACCTGCCAAATCCAACACCTAAAAGCCAATATGGCATTGCTTCCAGGAATATGCAAAGAAGTGAACCACTTAAAGTGCAGGATCAAAGAAACACTTGTTGAGGCAGAGAATACTTCCTACAAAACCACTAAGGAAACAGCTTTTGAAAGTAGCATTTTTTAAAGGAGCACTTGCTAAAAATCAACTGATCACTTCCTACAGCATTCAGCAGTACACAAATTCTGCATTTCCATGCAAGAGGCCAAACCTAACCTTTGTTTGGAGAACAGCATTTGTCCCCATGGAGGAGGAGTACTCTTTAGAGAAATAAATCACTGCTACAAAGTTGATCAATCAACACAACTCTCACAAATCCAAGGGAACCATGTTAGCTTGTGCCAGCTGGGATCTGGCTCCAGAAATAATGGGGGGGTTGTTTTGTTTTTCCAGATGAGAAAAAATTAATACATTTATAAGAAAATATTCTTCCCTCTGTGCCCTGATGAAATCCCATTAAAACTAATGGGCCCAACCTTAAAACCTGTTCTCATTCCTTTTGGAAGCACAACTCTGAATAGTATGGCTGCGCAAAGCTTCAGTTCCTGATTTGATTTGGCGGAGATTCGGCGGCCAAATCTCTGAATCCAAATCAAATCAAGAGATCCTTTAATCTCTCCGAATCACATTGGAACCCTCCAAACTGATTTTGAAAGATACTGCAATTTGGACATAGACACAGCTTTAAATGTTTTTGCTACATACCTCAAGATATCAGGTGGCTCGTGAATGCTGAGATGCTGGGGAGGATGAAGCATTCCACAGGAGTGCGGGGGGCTCCCCAACGTGCTCAGCAGCAGAACCGGAAGTGGGCCAGCAGCACTTCCGGTTCACAGTTTCATAGTGCTTAGGGTCAGAAGAGACCTAAATAGATCATCAGGTCCGACCCCCTGCCCCGGCCAGGAACGAGTGCCGGGGTCATAACACCCCAGGCAAATATCTGTCCAACCTCCTCTTGAAGACCCCCAAGGTAGGAGAGAGCACCACCTCCCTTGGGAGTCCATTCCAGAGCCTGGCAGCCCTAACTGTAAAGTAACATCTCCTGATGTCCAGCCTGAACCTTCTCTCTGACAATTTGTGGCTGTTATTCCTAGTAACCCCCAGTGGTGCCTGGGGGAACAGAGCCTCACCCAATTCTCACTGGTCCCCCCTGGTGAGTTTGTAAATGGCCACCAGATCCCCTCTCAGCCTTCTCTTGTGGAGGCTGAATAGGTTCAGGCCCTTCAGCCTCTCTTTGTAGGGCCTGGCCTATTGCCCCCTGACCATGAGAGTGGCCCTCCTCTGGACCCTCTCAAGGTTAGCCACATCCCTCTTGAAGTGCGGTGCCCAGAACTGGACACAGTACTCCAAATGCAGCCTGACTAGTGCCGCATAGAGGGGAAGGACCACCTCCCTGGACCTGCTTGTGATGCATCTGTAGATGCACAACAAGGTGCTGTTAGCCTTACTGACTGCTTCCTTGCATTGGCAGCCCATGTTCATCCTGGAGTCAACAATCACTCCAAGATCCCTTTCTGCCATGGAAGATCCCTTTCTGCCACTTCTGGGTCCACCAGGGAGCGTGTGGGAGCCCTCCCCCGCACCCCACTCTCCCGGCTTGGAAACTGGTGCCTTCTGGGTCTGGGGGGCACCCAGGGTCCCCCCACAGCCAATCACTGAGCTGGGTCTACTTCTGGGCCTACTGCCAAGCATGCTGGGGAGCCCCCCATGCTTCTGTGGGACTCTCCATTCACCCCAGCATCACAGCATTCATGAGCCACACCTGGTACCTCAAGGTATGTAGAAAAAATATTTAAAGCTGTCTATGGCTGAATTGCCGATTCTCTGAATCAGCATCGAATCTTCAGATTTGGATTCAGCCAAATCAAATTGGGGACAGTGATCTGAATCAACAAATTGAATCACTGTCCCCAATTTGGGCTGAATCTGAATCAAATACGGCCCGTTTCGCACACCTCTACTGAATAGCCCATTAGGTGTTATGAGAAGATGGCACAATGGAAAAGTCTCCCATGAGGGCTAGGTCCACAGCTGGTCTGCATCAAGATAGATCTTTTGAAGCTAATGGAGATGTGCTAATTTAAGCCAACTGAGGATCTGGCCAGAAAATGTTCCCTTGGTAGGAACTTAGCTGGCAGCTGACATCAGTAGTTACTCATTGCTACTAATATGAGGGACTGAAGAATCAGGATCAATGAATTTACAGTGCCATAAACCCACGGCAGTTGGAAGAGACTTTTTTTTCCCAATGTAAAGGTATTAAAAAAGCAAGAGTTTACAGTATACAAGGCGGTATGAATAGTGTGTATTCCAGAGAAGGATTAATTATAAGTGCTGGCCATGGTGCTGAAGGAAGCATTTTTTAGGCTCTACATAAGGATTGTACACAAACATGTGTTAAAAACATTAAACCTGAAAGGTTAAGCTCTCAAAAGTTAGGAAGGACCAAAATTAAGACCGTCTCATACATGGGATGAAGCTGACATCCTGTGGAAAAACAGAATGTGAACATGAGACTAAAGGCTACATCATAATGTATACTCAAAAGGGAACAAATTGAATTTGCACAGGCAAATCTTAGTTCCCTTATTTCTGAGTACTTGATTTCACCACCTTCACAATGGACATTTAATGTAGCATTTAGTGTAATTCCCTGTGTTTTAAAAAAGTAAAAACCCTCATAGAATTCCATTGCGTGGAATCATATGGATACCTCTACATGGTTCAGCAACAGTATTTGAATTCTTCAGGCCTATAGTACAGACCTCTGCCATATGAGCAAATACAGTAGCTGGTAGCAGTAGTGGATGTCATCCTTTATACAGAGCACAACTAGAGGCAGACGTGCAAAACATGACCAGTGGGTATGACAGATATTTTCTGACAACAGAGGAAGAGAAAGAGAGAGACATCCTGAAGCCCCGTTCTACTGAAGGAAAGTTTGATCTAGTAGCCCTCTGCTCTCATATACCCAGCTCCCTTTTGGCTCTCTCTTCTCCTTGTCTGTTCCCCAGGCCCACAGCACCTCATCTTCACACCTCTTTTTTCTTGCCCCATTTTCAGTCTATTTCTCCTGTCCAGCACTCAGTCTTCCTCCAATCTCAGGCTCTTAATGCCAGCCTGCCCACCAGGTTCTTGCTCAGGCAGCCCCAAATCTCATTCGACTCCAGTTTACCTTCACACAACTACAATCCCTGACTCCACCAACAGCCAACCCTAGACTCTCTCCCTCCAACCTGCCAGTCCCAGTTTCTGCCCCTCCAAGTCTCAGCCTCTCCTTCTGATTCCTTGTCTCAAACTGCACTCTCATTTCCCAGCAGCCTGTCCACTCTGCAGTTGTGTCAGGTTCTTTCTTCAAGCTGTCTATCAACAAGGAGATCACTGAAAACAGGGGAGTCTCTGCTTGTGGCTCCACAGGATCAAAAACCAGTAAATGTAGGACAAATCCTGTTCAGCATCCCCAGCCTGAAACCTTCTTTGTACAGACGAAATATTGAGAGAATTTAATTACTGAAATGTAGTAAGTCTCTAAGGAGCACGTGGAAAGCATAATTTTTCAAAGTGTTCACTGAAATACAGCAGGATGTGTGTTTCACGGAGATAGCAAAAGGTAACAGTACTAGGTAAAGCTCTCTGCCATTTCTCAAGTCAAAGTATGGTGGTACTCTATACTTCACTCTATTTCTCAAAGTATGGTGGGACTACTGTGCTTCAAAAACCACGCGCACACAGGCTCCTAAACGCACCATTTTTAAACACCAGCATTACGTAATAGGACTGGTTGATATCCTAGATCCCACTGCCTGTCCCTTTTCCATTCTTCTAATTTACTACTATCCTTTCCTTGAATAAAATGGTTTGCTA